AACAAGCACCTACAACAATTCTCAATTTCAGATGGCCATAGTAGTCGCAAAGAATCATTTACAAATCTTGTTATTGTGCTATGCTTGGTTTCCTCCAGTACTTTGCAAGCAAGAAGATGAGGGTTGCCGGGTTCGTCTGGATGTAGCTTACCAACTACGAAATTTGCTACATATCGGCCACATAAATCGGTTGTCTCATCCATCGATATCCAGACACAGTTACCCCCGATGTCAGAACGTACTGACTCCAGAGTAGATTCATACAGCAAAGGTAGATAATTTTTTTCTAAGAGTTGATTCATCTGGGATTTTTTGAATTACACAATATTTATCCAGAAATGATCGCAGAACTGGATTGCTTAATTTATTCCATGGAATGTCGCTGCATACTAAAGCCTCACAAAGATGGGCTGAAAATGTATTAACAGAGGACTTGGGTTTGACCTGTGTAAGAAGCAGTTGTTGTGGTGTGCTATTCTTCTTCCCCTTCTTTGCCGCAATATGTGCAGTCGTTCTTGAGTGTTGTTCAAGTTGAAATTTCTTTTCACAGTTTACTTCCTTTGCGCAAACTTGACAGTACACGACGACACCGTCTGTTGAATAGTCACTATTACCCGACACCCACAGAATTTTTTAAATATCTACTGTCGCACTTTTCTTTGGGCATTTTCAGTACACGAACACTTTTTTGATGCAGACTATTAAAGTAAAGAGTAACACATGAACTGAAGAGACTTCTCTCGAGACCAGCCCTCTGATGCTACTCTCTGCTGTGGTGGTCAAAGAAATGCAGGAAAATCCCACCCCCTCCCTTTTTAAATAGCCAAGCTACCTGCTTGTATTGTAAGTTGTAAAAGTACCGTTACTCAGAGAGTTGAGAATAGCAACTGGCAAGGGATGTCCAAAACACAGGCAACACCGAATTTGTTAGAGAATATTGAAATTATCCTTAATTCAAACATATATGCAGAAATATGCTCTTACGTTTAGAATATGCAATAAGACCAAAAACCCTCAATATATGCATTTTCAAAAAATCCGGGCCCTAGCCATTAGATATAAACTACCTCCAAAGGGCTGGCGTCCACAAAAGGACTACACAGTTCTTATAAAAAGGCGATGTTGTTCTGTGCTTAACGAATTTAGCAATAAGCCATGAAGCCGAATGGGGGAGTGGGTGTATAGAGCCATGCATTCTTGACCTCGGCACTAGTTGCAGGGGAGTGGAATGCTTCACGCCTCAAAATTTTTACTCCTGAAGGAGACCCGGTACGCATTAGACAGGAGGCTGGGTGTACACCAGAAGCGGAAGAGAATAACATTGCTCCTACAGGGACTCGAACTCCGACCCCTCGGTTTCCCAGTCCGTTGCCAGTCGCTACACCGACTGCATTATCTAAGTCAGAGTCATGTTGCGATCGACGCTCAGTCAGCCTGTCTTGGTTTTGAGTCCTATATGGGGCTCATGGCCACATAATGCTTACTGTTAGACAGTTACGGTTTTTACTCATGTGAGGCGCCCTCACTGACGTCAGGACGGGTCTGTCATTTGTCAGAGTAACAGTCAGCAGCAACAACTCAGTCGTCAGAACGTACATAATATTTACATTTTGCATTTTATTAAATAGTATATTAATGCGTACATTCACGGTGTGTCCAAGATCCGTTAGGACTAATTCTTTTTTTTTTCTTTCTTTTTAATTTTTCCCTGTAATGCCACCTGTTGACGAGTTGTGGCGTTAAGATTCTTGAAGTTTCAGCTGTGGCCGTCTATAATTTCAAAGCGTAAGCATCGCTGCATCTTGTGTTCTGACCTTGAGTGTAACAGTAATGTTCTGACGCCTGAACAGAGAGTCAACATCAAATTTTGTTTGAAGTTAGGCAAAACAGCCGGAGAAGCGTACGAAATGATGAAAAGTGTGTACGGTAGTGACTGTTTGAGTCGCTTGAACATTTTTCGATGGTATGCTGTATTTCGTGACGGTAGGGAGGACACTGAAGACAATCCACGCGCATCAATGCCGAGAACAAGTCGCACTGAAGAAATCCTTGCATCAGACAGATGTGTTTCTGCGAGATTCATCGAGGAGCTTTTGGGAATGCCAAAAAGTACTGTACATCAAATTTTGACCGAGGATTTGGGCAAACGAAGGTCTGTGCGCGGTTTGTGCCGCATGCGCTGTCAGGCGATGAAAAACATGCCATGTTACGGTCGGCCCAAAGTGATATAAAATTTACAAAGTCGATTGTTACTGGTGATGAGATATAGTGTTTTCAATATGAGACTCTCACAAAGCGGCAGAGTGCAGCGTGGTTGAGCCCAAAGAAGCCGAAACCAAAGAAAGTGCGCATGCAAAAGGGTCGAGTAAAGACACTGCTAACCGCTCTCTTCGATTCCAAATGAATCATTCACAAGGAATTTCTGTCAGAAGGTCAAACAGTGAATTCTGATTATTATCTCGGGGTCCTCAACCGTTTGTGGGCAAGAATTCTTCGAATTCGACCTGAATATCGAGAGCAAGGTTCCGGTCGCTCCTCCACGACAAAGCCCAACCCCACAAATCGAAGATCGTGCGCGATTTTTTGGCCAGAAAAGGGATCACAGTCCTTGATCATCCTCCGTATTCGCCAGATTTGGCTCCGGCAGATTTCTGATTGTTCCCAAAAGTTAAGTTGCGATGAAAGGAGACCGTCACGACACCATCCAGGACATCCAAAGGTTATCTACCGAAGTTTTAAATGCGAATCCACGAAAGGAGTGCAGTGACTGTTTTCGAAAACTTTTCAATCGATTCTAGCTATGTATTGATTCAGAAGGAGACTATTTTGAATAAAAAGAGTGAAATTTTGAAAATAATTAATGTCTTGTATTTTTAATGAATACAGTCCTATCAGATCCTGGACACACTGCGTACAATATATACAAGGCCTCCGTCAGTCCAGTGTCAGTATAGCAGATCATGCCCTATCTTTAGTAGCTCACGCTACGACAGCAGTCTAGTCACTTTAACGGCCGTACACTTGACCGCCGCCAAGACTAAGCCTCCTATATTTCCTGTGTCGGTCTTCGTCTTGTCCAATATTGCGAACATTTTCGTTATCATGATTTTGTATGACTTCTGCTTGTTTCCTGCACAATTTTGTTACATAATCATATATGCATGGAAGTTTCAAAGCCATATGCAAATCGCGAATCTTTGTGCGCCTTGGAAAACTTTCAGTTGTGCTGAGAACCTTGTTTTGTAGTAGATGATTATCTGCCGTAAACTCCCAGTTTAGTCCTAATGAGAGTTTTGTGGAGAGTAAATTGAATGTTAGCGCTTAATCGCTCACTTTTTATAGGGAATATATTCTAATGAATGTTCTGAAGGGCTTGTCATGGATCATTTCTATGTACAATCCTAATGTAACTCAAGATTACACCGTGACATTTTACACTATTTACAAATAGTATGTTTCGTCCACTCTGTGCAAGATGGGACTAAGGCGGTGGGCGTCTGCGGGAGAAATAGATTCCCTGAGTCTTATTCTCACTCATTTGAATGTTTCAGCGCTTAGACTGCATTAAGCCGGCTCACATACATTTCTTATAGCCAGTTTAATTTCCGAAACCTGAGCGTAGGTTGAGACTCTTCACGTGCGTCGTTTCTATGTGCTATATCTCGCCCAGTTCTGCAAATAAGGCCATAAATCTAACAACAAAAAAAGGCCTCAAATTTATATCCACTTCTTTCAACCTGGAACTACGTGGCGCTTCTACACACCTGTTCGCCCATGGTTCGAATCCCTGATCCTAATGTTAGAAAGAGCACCATGGTAAGTAAAGTAAAGCTATCCCTGTAACAGGCCGTGAAGGCCCATAGGGTTGTGAGATGTTGAGGCTCCCAAAGTATCTAGACAATGGGTTCATAGATGGTGGTAAGGTTGTCAGCCTTACATTTTACTCCACAGGAAAACTATTTATTTAATTCCTGGTACTCATTTCTGATAGAGCCTGAGTAAACCCCAGGGCCTAGTGCGGCCGGAAGGGTTAGAGCAATTGAAGAAAATTACAAGTGAATTGAGCCATCTGTGAAAAAGCAAATCTGCATGTACCAAACGTCAAAATAAAAGGTAAAATTGTCCCTGCGCTTAACTAATTAAGCACTAGGCCATGAAGGCGTATAGGGGGTGAATGTAGAGATCTATTTCCTTTTTACCTCGGCACTAGTTACAGGTGAGTGATCAGCTTCACGCCCTGGCCGCTTTACACCCCCGCGGAAAGAGCCCCAAGTACCCATTGGATAGAAGGTTGGGTGACTCCAAGAGCCGGTCTGCACGACGCAGAGAAGAGAAAATTCTTGACCTTACCTGGACTCGAACTCCGACCCCCCAGTCGTACAGCCCGTAGGCAGTCGCTATACTTGTTGATGCCTCGTCATCAGAGAGTAGGATATTATTAAACACGAAGACGGATAGTTGAGTCTGTGGCAAAGTTCAAATATTGTGGAACGAGGATAAGGTAAGGTAGAGGTAAAGTTGTCCCTGTGCTTAACTAATTAAGCATTGCGCCATGAAAGCGTATGGAGGAGTGGATGTATAGATCCACATTTTATTGACCTCGGCACTAGCTGAAGGTGAGTAGTCGGCTTCACGCCCCGGCCGCTTTACCCCCGGGGAAAGAGCCCCCCGGTACCCATTGGATAGGAGGTTGGGTGGACCCCAGAGCCGGTCTGGACGACGTGGATAAAAGAAAATTCTTGACCCTACGGGCTCCCAGATAATTAACAAAAGTCGTGTCGACAGAAATAAACGCAAGCCAACATGACGCTGCGATACAATATTTATAATAACAGCGGCTACCAGGACAGACTTGACAACTTCAGCAGCTTCCCTTCACCACATGAACCTGATCCTCGTTCCAAAGTTATTTGCCTTCAGGGTGTAAGTACCTGTTCCACGCAGGAGTACTACGAAACAGCACGAGACTAAAAGGAACAGAAGAGATGGCGGAATGGTGGGGGTAGGCACCCAACATGCAGCGGTCGGCCCTGCAGTGTGTGCTGGTCCTGGACAGAGAGTGGATTGTGCACAGTGAGGAGAGTTAGAATGCGAGACACATAGCACCAGGACGAGATGTAAGTACAGACCGACCATCAGCTTATCAAATCGCTAAATAACAAGGAAGGATAGGCGTCAATCGGTCTCTCACGTTGATGGAAGAGCTGAGACTGTCCTTCTGGAATGTGACGCCGTGTAACGTGGTAAAACGTCGATCATCAAATTAAAAGATGGAGGTAGCAGGTTCCTCCGAAACTCCAGATTACATAGCGTCATATTTCGACAGTAATTGTCAACCTCTGTCACAGTTCTTCCCTCAGAGCGGCTGACTGCTACAAATGTTCATTCTTCATGGTAGAACATGAAGGCAGCAGATTCCTCTGAAACGTAAGTAACTTTATACCACACTACACGGTGTTAACTGCCAACAGACAGAAATCCTCAACTTCAATCTCATTTCTTCCCTCAAGAGAGAGACTTGTATAAAAATCACTGGCAAGAGCGTTCATTCTTCAGAGTTGAACAAGATGACAGCAGGTTCCACCGAAACGTTGGTAATGTTCTACCAGATTACACGGTGTCACACCCAGTACACAGCAATCCTCAACCTGTCTTCTGGCCTCAGAGAAAGGAGACTTGTACAAAATCACTGCTACGAATGTCCATTCTTCAAAGAGGAATATGGAAACAGCAGGTTCCTCCGAAACGTCGGTAACGTTCTACCAGATTACACGATGTCACACCCCAATAGACAGTAATCCTCAACCTCTGTTTCGGTTCTTCTCTCAGACAGACAGACTTGTATAAAATCACTGCTACGAGTGTTCATTCTTCAGGGGGGAATATGGAAACAGCAGGTTCCTCCGAAACGTCCTACCAAATTACATGGGATTACAGCCCAGGTAACAGTAATCTTCAGAGTCACCGCCGTGACAACCTCAAATCACGTCGTTATTGAGACTATTTGAGAGCAAAGTTCTTCAAAAAATAATCTGACGTACATATCATGGGACAGTGACGGTAGGGCAGTGCGCATTCTTAGGCTCGACTATAGAGAGGGGGGGACAGTCAGATTAGTCTCCGCTTGTGTCATTTTTAAAAAGCAATTCCCCATGAAGTTCACCCCTTGACTTGGGATACTCCAGTCAATTCTCTAAACAAAGCCCTCGAATTATCCGTAATCCGGACAATCCGCCACCAACTGATGGAAAGCAGAATGTATTTCATTATCATTTTGTTCTGGAACACTCCTCATCCGTGTCACTCCCTCGGAGAGAGTGACAAAGCCTCGCGTCCTCATACAAAAAAAAACTCCGAGGTTTTAGTCCACAAACAAACTATACCGACCGAGCGACCGCGCTTGTCGGCGAAGTTAGTGCCAACTTTTGCGGATAGAGGGTGTCGCGTGTTCAGCGCAACGAATTCCCACGGTCGTTAATTTCGGTTTCCGCTATTTCGTTGATATAGCTCCTCAATAATCCTCACGAGGCTGAGTGGACCCAGTTCCAGACCCACTATTTCTAAAAAAATCTGGTAGCGCCGGGAATCGAACCAGAGACCTCTCGAACTGTAGCCAGGAACTCTGACCGCTAGACCACAGAGGCGGTCACAATATGTAAACACAAACTCAGACGTCCTTAATCTGAATTCAGCCAGGAACCGGGGCAGAGAGATGAAGCCACAAAATTAAAAGACCGAGTACATGACAATATCGTTACGTGTCCGGGCTTCCATGACTAATGTTGATGGGTTCTGGATTGGATGGATTTATTGACGCCTTCTTTACAGTCCCTCTTAATCATAATCAATCTACTTCCGAGCACTCGCTCCATTTTACTTTTACTTCTCCTGTCTCAACTCTCTTACAACTTCTGAACTCTCTGCGCGTTCTCACGTGTCCTTCCTTTATAACTTCGGGGGAGAACCGAATAAAGATCACCACCTACAACAGTTCATCTACTATTGCGTGCTCATTCGTTGCTGCGGAAAAGTGTTTAGCGAGCCGTTGTGTAGCAATGGACGTCTCTGCAGTGTTTCTCTGACTGCAAACTTCTGGCGCTCAGGCGTCATGTCACAATATGATGACCGAGGGGGGTAATGGAGACGCACGGAACATTGCTAGAACGATCATTACCATTGGAAAACCGAAGAAAATTGGAGAAAAATATACTCAAGCGCCATTTCGTTCACCCCGAATCTCACATGAAGTTATTAGGGCCAAAGCATTGAGAAGCTAGCATCTAACTGCCTGTGATATGGCAGGCCTAACGAACATATAATCCTGTATTATAAAAGTTTAAAATAAAAAGGTAAAGCTATCCCTGTAACAGGCCATGGAGGCCCACAGGGTTGTGAGAGGTTGAGGTTCCCATATTATTTAGACAATCGGCTCAGAGATGGCGGTAAGGTTGTCAGCCTTACGCGCCGGCCGCCCTTTACCCCCAGGAAGATTCCAGGTGCTCATTTCTGTTAGAGGCTGAGTCGACCCCAGGGCCATAGTGTGTCTGAAAAGATCAGATCAATTAAAAAATCCAATTACATTTATAATCGAACCCGCGATCTTCCGGCTTGTAGCATATTGCCTTAACCAACTACGCTACCGCGTGAAGCCTGTATTAAAATTTTATATATTTCGACCTTTAGGTATTTGTGCAGGAAAACAGAGAAAAGACGAAGGCTAGCATGAGTTTATATTATGTGGCTATTGCATAAATACCGCAAATTGGAAGACGTCAGAACTGTAGGTCCATATGCATGTAGTTCAGTGTAACACGAAAAGTCGACATAAAACAGTCACTGGATTTATGCCCCAAAGAGGATGAAAGAGGAAGTAATACATTAACGTATGTTCATTTGTATGCAAATACCTTTACAAGCGTCTATGGTCCCGGTACTACTATACGAGTACTTCTATTGGAAGCTTCTAAAGATGTTATAGTCCACACAGAGTAAATAAACGCATAAAAGACTTAACAATAAATATAATAAATTCCTAATTGAACGTTTGGCCTGAATTGTAGCTTACTGTCACGTGTGCGTGACTAATAATAACGGGTTTTTGATTGGATGATTGGATTTATTGATCACTCCTTTACAATTTCTCGCATTCAAAATGAATGACTGCCGAAGGCTCCATTCTGTTCTCTCTCTATTCTGATCTGAACTACGATTGACTTCTCTTCTAGTCTGTCTTCTACTCTGTCTCCTCTTTTAGTCTTTTCTGCTTATCTGAACCCTGAGTCTGTCTTATGTTACGACTGACGGTCTTTCGGCCAGTTTGTCTTGGAATAAAACACCCATCTGGGGCTTATGACCAGATTTTTATTACTGTCAGACAGTTGCGGGACTGTCGTTTACAATTACTGCTGGCCCTAGCCAGCGTAGTCATTCTCGGAGCGACCATATTCTACTGTCTCAGATTCGAGACTTCTCTTTTCGTCGTCTCCTGCACTCAGTTCTGTTCTCTTCTTATACAGCGTATCCGTATTCAAGGAAATGTGTGTTGATCACTCGTATCCATGGAAACGTGATCCATACCGAGTTGTTTTCCAAGAATCCATCTCCATTGGAACGTGTTTGCCAGCGCGTTTCCTAGCAACGGGTCTACATGTCACAATATGTAAATACTAACGTGGGTTACTAATCTAATACTTATGTCTGGCAATGCATTAAGGCTGAGCGGGTTGGGATATCTGTAAGGCTCCGTATTTGGGAGGTGAACGGTACTTCGATTAGGCCACGAGGAAATCCTTTCCAGTCAATTCTAATTCAATGTTCCTCTATCATCCCAGTCTTGACGCTAAGAGTACTTGAAACCACGATGAAACTCGCTATTCCAGAGAACGACAGTCACAAATAATCATTAAAATTAAGAACATATTAAATCTATGAACATGCTATTTTACTGTCCTCTCTTTAAAAATCTAAAGATTAAAATATTCACGCCTTGTTTGCTATCAGTGTGAAATTACTGATCTCTCATCCCGAGGAAAGACCATATTAAGGGTTTCTGAGAATCTGCTGTTGAGGTTATTATGCGTTCTTTTCATGATATACACTCAATTGACCTAATCCTTCCAGCCGCACTATGGCCCTGGGGTCGACCGAGCCTTTACAGAAATGAGTTCCAGGAATCTTACTGTGGGTAGACTGCGGCCGGAAGAATTAGGTCAATTGAAAAAAGAAATCCACCTAATCGGGATTCGATCCCGTGATACCGGAAACACGGAAAAATGACAAATTCTTTGTTGCAATGTGTACAAATGATAAATTCTCCACCCATCTGTCCCTTGCGTATACTTTCTGCTCTTTCTTTCGACCGATGGACAATGGAATTCTTCCAGCCAAGTGAATGAATGTATGAGGGTAGGCCTTCTCGGCCTGCAGTGGTCTACTGTGCTTTTAGCCAAGTGAAACTTAACCTTGTGTTAGTGGTGTGGTAGCAATATTTGAAATTTCATTTGGATTTCCAGCCCTCAGTCTTGGTCTGCGATTAATAGTATTTGCCTACCTGTCTCTGAACGAAGGTATTTTTGGATTTTCCAAGCCACATGTCTACTCTTGAGTCTGATGTCTGTAACTTCAATCTTTCTCCAACTGGCTGCACACAGTGTTGTGCACCTGAAAATTTAAGTTCATTTATAAAATTCTGCAAAATACTGGAACGTGGAAGACGTGAAATAAGTTAAATGTGGACATCCAAAAAAAATGCCGTTAGTCAGCGAACAACTTCTCTACAGCTCGAGTTTGGTGCGACAAAGGAGGCCGTGCCATAGCTCAGGCGTTGCCGGTTCCCAGCGCGGCGGCCCAGGTTCGATACCAGTTCAGGTCATATGGGATTTGTACTGCACAAAGTGACGCTAGGAGAGATTTTCTCCGAGTACCTCGGTTTCCCCTGTCAATTCTCATTCCACCGACTGCTCCACACTCATCATCTGTCATCCGGGGCTGGTACAATAGGCCAGTTAGTGGCCGACGTACCAAGTGTACTCAAACAAAGTAAAAAGAAATTTGGTGCTGCAAAGTCAACAGCCGGAAATGTTAACAAGGAAAGGAATATGATTACAAAAGCTGGAGGAGGGGAAGAACTGCAACAGAAAAGGAAACAAAAACTTACGCAAAACAGAAGATGAGCTTGTTAATTTCCTCATTCTAAAATATTTCCAGAAAAGTGTTGTGGACTTTGCTGTTACCTGGCCATTAGCTCAGTATTTGTTCACTACAGACATAAAAAATTGACAAATTTAAAAAGAGTTCTATCTTCCACGATATAACGCGGTGTAATGAGTTGAAAAATCGATTGACATTTTGGAGGAATACAGCGCCTCCATCTTCAGGGTCGAAGCAAGCAGACTGCCTGCTTGGCTCGTTCTACTGCTTGGGCAGGGCTATCTACACCAAGAGGGAGAGAGGGTGACGCTGATAAATGAGCGCGAAGAATTGGTAGGATGGTGTTTAGCAAGTGAAACCCGAATAAACTCGGAGAAGAAACTGTCTCCATTATCATTTGGCCTGCCACGGATCCCACATGAAGTCATTTTGGGCGCCGCAGGTAAGAAGCCAGCCTCTAGTTCAGTTTTTTTTTAGTTCCATGGGGTGGGGTGAGACTGAGTCCACTTGGTATGTCGGCAATTAATTTCCCTATTGTACCAGCCCCGGCCTATAGGTGATGAGTGTGGAGCAGTCGGTGGAATGAGAATTAGCAGGGGAAACCTAAATACTCGGATAAAACCTGCCCCAGTGCCATTTTGTTCACCACAAATCCCACGCGATGTGACTCGAACCCGGGCCGTTGACCAACCGCCTGAGCTAGCCAGCCTCTAACTGCCTAAGTAAGTAGTATAAGCAAACTAGAAGGCAAGAGATCGCCCGCGAAATGTCGGGGTGGATGGGATAATATTAAAGTATATGTCAGAGAAATCGGAAGTACAAATGCGGACCGCATCAAGTCAGTCAGTACGGCGTCCAATGGCTGGTTTCTGCGAATAGTGATGAACTTGGATTCCATAATAAAAGGTAAAGTTGTCCCTGTGCTTGACTAATTAAGCACTTCGCCATGAAGGCGTATGGGGAGTGGATGTATAGGTCCCACATTTTCTTGACCTCGACACTAGCTGGATGTGAGTGGTCAGCTTAACGCCCCGGTCGCTTTACCCTCAGGGAAAGAGCCCCGATACCCATTGGATAGGAGGTTAGGTGGACAACAGAGTCAGTCCGGATAACGTGGAGAAAATTCTTGACCTTGCCGGGACTCGAACTTTGACCCCTCGGTCGTCCAGTCCGTAACCAGTCGCTATACCGACTATACTATCCCGGCTCCCGTGAAGTGTAGACTATACTATTAAGGAATCATAAATTAAAAGTTGAATGTCTTGAATACAGTTCTACGTATTGTCACATGTATCGTCAGAGATAGCAACTAGAACTGCACGCAGCCATTTTCTTCCCTCACGAGGAAGAACACGGTCCCAGACTTTTTTATCCTTGGCGCTACAGCCCTCATTTGGGCCTAGGCCTACCTCCATGAAACTCTCCGTCTTCACTTCGGTTTACTAGATCTTAGAGATTCGGTAGGATTCCTTGGGCGGGTGATCAGTTCGTCGCAAGGCCTCTACCTGTACAAAACACAGAAAGACGCACACCAAACATCCATGCCCTGAGTGAGATTCGAAACCACGATCCCAGTGTCCGAGCGAGCGAAAACAGTACATGTCTTAGACGGCTCGGCTACCGTGACCGGCAGTGTATAAAAATAATATATAAGAATTCAGTTCGTAGCTCACAGGAAACAGATCCTAACCCTCGGTCCCGACTTCCTAGCGAGCGAAGACAGTGCATGCCTTAGACCTCTGGGCTACCGTGACCGGCAGTGTATAAGGATGATATATAAGGATTCAGTTCGTACCTCACAGGAAACAGATCCGAACCCACGGTCCCGGCTTCCGAGCGAGCGAAGACAGTACATGCCTTAGACCACTCGGCTACCGTGACCGGCAGTGTATAAGAATAATATATAAGAATTCAGTTCCTACCTCACAGGAAACAGATCCGAACCCACGATCCCGGTCTCCAAGCGAACGAAGACAGTACATGCCTTAGACCGCTCGGCTACCGAGACCGGCGGTTTCAGACTTTAGGGTGATTAAATCAAGGAGAATGAAATTGATATGAAGTGTAGCATGCATGAACTAACTACTTGGAGCTGAGCCGATCTTCAGAAGTCGCCAATTGTGCAACTACTCAATAACTTACCAGTATTCTATGGAACCCGAAGGTCCATTACCGTGCCTACGAGAGCCCTCCACTAATCCCTATCCTGAGCCAGATCAATCCAATTCATATAACTCCATTCTATCCCTCTAAGATCCAGCTCCCACCCACGTCTAGGTGCAGCACGCATGACAAGAAGAAAAACGCGTACAGAATTTTTGTTGAAAGAAACCTTCGAAGGGAAGAGACCATTTGGAAGACCTAAGCGAAGACGAGAGAACAATATTTATAACTAAACTCCGTGGCTTTTAGTCCGCAAGTGAACTACACTGACCGAGCGGCCGCCGCTTGTCGGCGAAGTTAGTGCCAACTTTTTTCGGGTAGAGGGTGTCGCGTGGTCAGAGCAACGAAGCCCCACGGCCGTTAATTTCGGTTTTCCAGACCGGAGCCGCTATTTCCTTGAAATAGCTCCTCAATTATCTTCACGAGGCTGAGTGGACCACGTTCTCAGAAAATCTGGTACAGCCGAGAATCGAACCCGAACCCCCGGATCTGTAGACAGAAACTCTGACTACTAGACCAGAGAAGCAGCCAGTAATATTAATATGGACCTTAAATATATAGGTTTGTGTTTGTGGAGTAGATTTTTCTGGCTCAGAATAATCTCCAGCGATGGGCTGTTGTGACCATGGCGCCCGGTTTCCGTAAGAGGCCGCACATTTCTTGCCAGTGTGACTCATCTCATGAATGATAGTCCCAAGGAGTGAGACATGACTGAAATATAATTCCTACTTTAGAAACCTATACAGAGCGGGAACTATAATAAAATTCATGAAGTTTATGGACCACAGAAGACAGATTTGTATCAAACTCAGGGCTGGATATACAGCTGTGGGGGCCCAGGGGGAATTAAAACGTGGAGGCACCTGTCTGTAGTAACGAATTTTGGTACTATCTTTTTTTATTCTTATTTTATATAATAAATAAAGATACGAACCAGCTTCTCGTTCCTGGTTATCAAATCCGTGGTTTTAGTCCGCAAACGAACTATACCGACCGAGCGACCGCCGCTTGTCGGCAAAGTTAGTGCCAACTTTAGCGAATAGAGGGTGCCGCGTGGTTAGCACACTGAATCCCCAAGGCTGTTAATTTCGGTTTTCTAGACCAGAGCAGCTATTTCCTTGAAATAGCACCTCAATTGTCCTCACGAGGCTAAGTGGACCCCTTTCCAGACCCACTACTTCTCAGAAAATCTGGTAGAGCCGGGAATCGAACCCGGACCTCTGGATCTGTAGGCTGGAACTGTGACCACTAGACCACAGAGACGGTCGTTCCTGACTATAGAGATGCAAATATGTCCAAATCTGTGTATTCCATTTCTGTTTTGTGGAGGCCCAGGGGCGACAACCCTGGTAGCCCCCCTTAAATCCGGCCCTAATCGCAGGAAAGAACATATATACGACAGGAATATGTGAAAACATTCAGTTCAGAACCTCCTTGCTTCTCGCCTTTTCTCCCAAAACACTCCAAGACTCTAAAATATGAAACGATACTCCCGTCAGCTACATTGCTTCGTACAGTTGCGAAACCTGGCCTTCCACTTTAAAGGAACAAAGATTAAAAGCACATTTTAAGATAAAGTGGGAAAGGAAAACAGTTGAATCTAAGAAAGATCAGGGAAAATTACGTAACAACAAGCTTCACCTAGTATTGTTATGGTGATGAGACCAAGGACGCGGATGTCTGCAAGCGCAGGTTGCATGGTGTTCATTCCGCGTGCGGACTTTGGTTCATCAACACGTAAGACGAGAGGTAATTGGACCGGTCTGCATTTGCGACGGACTTTCGGCAGGCATACCAACATACCGTTCATAGAAACTATTCCTGTCAGTAAGTAGTCCCACAAGGCCGCGACTTAGCTCAAGCGGTTAGTCTCTGGCTTCCCACCCAGGCGGCCCGGGTTCGATCCCGGGTCTGGTCAAGTGGGATTTGTAGTGGACAGAGTGGCGCTGGGGCGGGTTTTCTCCGACTATTTCGGTTTACCCTGCCAATTTTCATTCCACTAAATTCTCCATCATCATAATCACCCGGGGTAGGTACAATAGGCCAGCGAAAAAAAAAAGTAGTCCCACATATTTCTTCCTACGGCTACTGGCTCTCGGTTTAAAAGAAAAATACACATTAAAAGTGCCCGAAAACAAAATTCTCAGGAAAATATCACCCCTCCCAACCTGCCGGTGCCCATGTGCACGATATAATTTGAACTTCTATTTTTACTTTCACAACTGACATAACTGTCTATGCAGGGAAAGCTGTCTTCAAGATGTGTCACTGCGGGACTGAACTCTTCAACACGATGTTGCTGCTCTTTGTCGTCATAGCTGCTGCACTTGTCCACACGGCCAGCGCGTCAGAACAGGTCAGTCACAATATGATGATGATGATTATTATTATTATTATTATTATTATTATTATTATTGAATTATCGAACTGAATTATCAGATAAATTCCGTGGTCTGTAGTCCGCAAGCGAACTATACCGACCGAGCGACCGGCGCTTGTCGGCGAAGTTAGTGTCAACTTTAGCGTTTAGAGGGTGTAGCGTGGTCAGCGCAACGGATCCCCACGGTCGTTAATTTCGGTTTTCTAGACCGGAGCCGCTATTTCCTTGAAATAGCTCCTCAATTATCCTCACGAGGCTGAGTAGACCCCGTTCCAGACCCACTACTTCTCAGAAAATCTGGTAGCCCAGGGAATCGAACCCGGGAACTCTGGATTTGTAGCCAGGAACTCTGACCACTAGACCACAGAGGCGGTATTATTATTATTATTATTATTATTATTATTATGCACAGATTACATATTACTTACTTACTTATGGAGCTTCTTGAGGAGAAGCCAAATCTGCAGCTACCCAAGAATTTCCCACCATTTTATGGAACCCGAAGGTTCATTACCGTGTTCACAAGAGCCCTCCACTGGTCCCTATCCTCAGCCAGATCAATCCAATCCATAGAATCCAATCCTAGCTCTCTAAGATCCATTTTAATATTTTGCACCCACCTACGCCTTGGTCTTCCCAGTGGTCTCTTTCCTTCTGGCTTTCCTACCAATATCCTATTTGCATTCCTCTTCTCACCATTCGTGCTACATGCCCTGCCAACCTCATCCTCTTTGACTCAGATTATATATTACATCCTATTTGCATTTCTTTTCTCACCATTCGTGCTACATGCCTTGCCAACCTCATCCTCTTTGACTCAGATTATATATTACATCCTATTTGCATTTCTTTTCTCACCATTCGTGCTACATGCCTTGCCAACCTCATCCTCTTTGACTCAGATTATATATTACATCCTATTTGCATTCCTTTTCTCACCATTCGTGCTACATGCCCTGCCCACCTCATCCTTTATGACTCAGATTCTATATTAAATTGGTTAAATTTAAGCTTGATACGCGTCCGTAGTCTGGAATGTGATGATGTTAACTGAAGCTGGACTACATCCAGCAGCGATCTGCGGACCTCTGTTTTAACCGTTTCTTTCCTCAAGCCCAATACAGTTATCCTCTTGCTCTGGAGGAGTTAAAATTCCATACTTTACGTACTAGGAGACATAGCCTCGATGCTCACTTTCTCACTCAAGTTTACTTTGGTTTCAAGTTCTGCCCTTCTGGTCTGGAAACTGTTGGTCTCCGACTTCCTGTTCGGTATATCAGAGACTTTGCATTGTTCAATGTTTGCTCCTCATGTAAAAATTGTCCCTCTGCCAGATGTGCAGCAGCTGCAGGAACATTCACGTATTCGGAGCCAGGAACGTTCTCCTGTCGTTTTTTGTGATGTGTTATTATTATTATTATTATTATTATTATTACATGTAGTATGTATGAATATTATCCTTTCTCACCTCATAATGGCACAACTATTGCAAATGTACTTATTTTACTTTTCTCGCCATTTATCGGGGGCACGCGCTAGCGCAGTTGGTTGAGGCACTATGCTACAAGCCGGGATCGATTCCCGATGAGGCCACTAGAATCTTCAATTGACTTAATCCTTCCAACTCATCCTCTAACAAAAATAAGTTCCACGAATCTTCCCGGGACCTAAAGGGCGGCCGGCGAGTAACATTTCTTCTTTAATATATTTTTTCAGCTCAGAATTAGGACCTTCAAAAATGTACTCTTCAAGTGTTACTAATATAATCAAATTAAGGAGGGTGAGATGGGCGGGACTTACAGTACGCATGAAGACAATAAGAAATACATACAAATGTTCAGTCGGAAAACCAGGATGCAAAAGATAATTTAGGAGACCCAGGCGTATATGGGAAGGTACTATTAAAATGTATCTAAAATAAATGAGATGTAAGAGTGGAGAGTGGATTCATCTGGCTAAAGACAGAGTCCAATAGCAGGCTCTTGTGAAAACGCAAACAAAAGATCGCGTTTCTGTGAAAGACGGGGATTTTTGACCATCCCTGCGACTGTCGGTTTCTCAAGGATTGCTCCACCAACTTAGCTGGGTACACACCGGCCCATCCCGGTGTCTGTGTTCTCTATGGACGTCTGTCAGACTTGCTACAGAGGGCTGAGTCCGTCTCGGAGGTATTACGTCTTGCCGGTACCTCCTGCAACTGTTGGCTCAAGCAGGGTTTGAAGTTCCCACAGCTGCAGTTACGTAACATTCTGTAGCCCACTCAAGGCTAAGAGACGTTTCGGAGGAATATATCACCTCCATCTTTTAAAGTTGAAGAGTAAGTCAACCAAAAACCAGCATGAAACAAGCAGACTTCTGTGTTCATTAAGCTTCTTTCTTGCTTGGATTACCATTCGATCCTGGAGATGGAGGCATCATGTTACTCCGAAACGTCGGTTAATTTTCAGCGGACTACAAGGTGTTATATCCACGAAGATAGAACTCTTCATTTGGTTTACGGCATAATTTTACGATGGTCAGCCTGATAAGTCATAAAACGTATTAGGATAATGATTTAAAACATCTGTAACCTACCCACCCACCCACCTATGGCTCTATAGCTCTTGGACCTTGGCCGCTTTTTCAGTTTCTTAATCCTATACACAGTCGGTAGGACCCCTTGGACGAGGGATCAGCCCGTTCGCAAGGCTGCTACCTACAAACAGAATAAGCGCACACTATGATCGGCATATCTCGAGCAAATGAACCTGTAGAGAGCGGAAACAAATCCGATTTATAAGCTGGATAAAGCAGACTTCAGATTATTCATTGTATTCGTGAATGGGTTCTGAAGTAGACTAAAATGCACAAGTTACTCGTGACTATCGAAATATTAAACAAAATCAAGTTCAGGTTTAGGCAAGAGCGGCAAAGTTCTGAGCACACATATTTCCTTACGGCACTGGTCTTGCCGAAGGGGTTTGCGTGGCGGTATTACTTCTGACTCGTATTCCAAGGGTCCGGATGTCGACTATCGTGACTGAGATTTTTACCCCTCCAGGCAAACCTCGGAACAGTACCTCGATCAGACCACGAACGCATCCTTTCAAATTCTTTCTGATCCTTCATCTTCTGTGTTACACACTCTAGTCACTGACAGCCACGTGAAATAACCCCCAAGTCACTGGTTTTGATAGTCACTTATTGCTCATGTAGTTGAAAAGAGAGAAGTTAAAGTTGTACCTGTGCTTAACTGGTGAAGCAGGCCATGAAGACAATGGGGGACCGGAGGTATAGCTCCACCTTTCTTGACCTCGGAACTAGATGGAGATGTGAGGTCAGCTTCAGGTCCCTGCGGCTTTACCCCTAGGGAAAGAGCCCTCGGTACCCAGCGGATAAAGATTAAGCTGTCAATGTAACAGGCCGTGGAGGTTCAACGTCGAGGCTCCTACATTTTTTAGACAATCGCCTCATAGATGGCGGTAAGGTTGTCAGCCTTACGCACCGGCCACCCTTTACCCCCAGCAAGATTCCTCGTACTCATTTCTGTTAGAGACTGAGTGGACCGCAGTTCCATAGTGAGGTTGGAAGGATTTGGTCAATTGAAAAATCCAGAGACCTCATCAGGAATCAAACCAGCGACCTTCCAGATTGTAGTGCTTCAACCGACTATGCTTCAAAATTGATACGAGGTTGATTTTTCATTTGACTGATAGTTCCAGCTGCACCGGCCCTGGGGTCGACTCAGACTCTAACTGAAGTGAGTACCAGGAATATTTTGGGGGCATAGGCGTAGGGCTGACAACCTTACCCCTATCTATGAGCCGATTGTGGGAGCCTCGACCTCTCACAACCCTATGGACCCTCACGGCCTGTTACAGGGATACCTTTACTTTTTACTTCTTATGATTAATTGTTAAACATGGTTGTTTTTTGAAAGGAATTAGCAATTTAGTTAGGAAAGGAACCTACCGGTATATATTTTAATCAAGTCTGAAATACTCAAGGAACATGCTAGGCTTATGTAACTGCGGAAAGCATTAGGTGCCTAACAGAATTCACATACATTTCTATATAGGACTTTTTTAGTTCACAATGGATTAAAAAAAGGGGATGCTTTATCCCCGGTGTTTTAAATTTTGCTCTAGAATATGCCACCAAGAACACCTAAGAGAGTCAATGAGGGGTCGGAACTGAAAGGCCTGCGCCAAATGTGTGTTTATGCGCACCTTGTTAATTAGCTGAGGAAGATTACAGTCGGTAGGACACCTTGGACGAGGGATCAGCCCGTCGCAAGGCCGCTACCTGCATACAGGACAGCACAAACAAAATAAACGCATACGGACATCCATATCTCAAGTAGGATACGAATCCACAATCCCAGTGTTCGAGCGAGGGAAGACAGTTCATGCCACAGACCCCGCGGCCAGTGATCGGCCGAGGAAGTAGAACTGGAACCGCTCTCCACGAGACCAATAAACAAACAAAATACTGTATATTAATGTGACACCGAACGAAACCCAGCAAAAACCTGTGTGGCGCCTAGGAAGGTAGAACAGCCTGTCCAGCTGAGGAGGCCTCGCTTCTGGGCTGGACTGGGAGCTGTGGTGGGGGCTGCGATGTCCCTGCCGGTCCCGGATATCCCGCTGACAGGAGCCCAACAGAAGATTGGCATCATGACAATGCTCCACTTGATTAAGCAAGGATGTATGACCCTTGGCTCTGCACGGGTAGAGTCAATGGACATTTAGTGGACCTCAATATGGAGTGTTTCGGCTGTAGGTTTTTAAAGATCCAGAGCAAAACGGGTCGCACAGTGGACCCAGTAAAGGTCTGAGTGCTTAAGGGGCGACTATAAGTTGTCCCCTCTTATGTCAATAAGATGCAGGGACCAATCATGTTTAACAGCGTTACAATGACATCATATATATAGTGACATGAAGCCTGAAAGCCGGAATAGCGGAGCAAGAGTAGATGTTCATTGGTAGGCAACGACT